TCTGTTCTGTAATACCAACAAAGTGTGTTTAATTACAGAACGTCAGTAACGGTCATTAGATATACGGCTCTTGTCTAACTGTTGATATGTCGGAGAGCATGGGGGAAATAAAGAATTCATTGGTTGATATCCATCCTTCATTTTCTTGCAGTGATTTTTTACTTGATTAGCTTTCCATGTGTCAACTAATCTACAAGCCTTTATTAGCTATTGCAGCATTCTCTAGTTATAGTCGCTCAGATATAAAACTTAAGCTCCATTCTTTTCCAGGATAGTGGGAGGGAAAAGAATAAACAAGAAAGGAGAAATTGGTTTTAATAAGTAGAAGGAAAGGACCTGGAATACTTCAAATTTCGAGTATATTGTCCAAGACGTTAATTGTGTAATGTATCGATTATCCCCATTCTCCTCGTAACTAAGCCCCTGTTTGATTTACTAAAAATTATATTTTTAGTATGACAAAAGTTGATAAGTGTGTGATTGAAAAGTTAATAAAAGTTTGTGGATCTCACAAAATGTGTGTTTGAAAATAAGTTTGATGAAAAATGAGTTTTTGGAAAATGGGGATCAAACAAATGTTAATTGTCTCCTGGATTCCTTTATAGGCTCCCCTTTCCAAAATCATTTTTTTCCCTCTCATTTTCTTTCTTTCTTCCTTTTTTTTTTAAAGGTTTGGGGTGGAGTGAACTGATGTGTTAGTATCGGTGTCACATGGATACTTAAAATAGTTATGTGCACCTCCTCATGGCTATCCAAGTTATAATGAAATTCATGTAGATTGTGTGGCATTGAATTTTCTAAAATGCTTGTAATGAAATCTCTGAAATACTTGTTCTGAAGCCCTAAATTGCTAGCATAAATGCATAATATTTACTTCGTGTTATCTGTTTGTTTCATTTAGTTTTATCCCTTCTAGCATCTGTCTTAATTTTTCCAAATTTGGAGTTCGTTGAAAATACATGAACTGGATACATTTCACCATCTTATGCTCTCCCAGTTGAACTGAATCCTTTTTGTGCTACGGTATCATTTCAGCTGGGTGGTGGTTATCTCTTTGGCTTGCCTGTGGGTTTTGTTGCTGATTCAATTGGTGCTACAATTGGTGCCGGAGCTGCGTTTCTTCTGGGGAGAACTGTAAGTTCTGTAGTCTAATAACAGCATTTATTTTCTTGCTAATAAGAGCACGAGGCTCAGAGATGAAACATTTCTTTTCTTCATTTAGTTTTCCAATTTTAGGACACCTTTAGCTGGCATACAAACATCTAGAAAAATTTGTTTCTATTAGATTTTCTTTGTAATTATTTCCCCATCCGACAATGAACAGATTGGAAGGTCATATGTGATTTCCAAGTTGAGAGACTATCCGCAATTTCGTGCAGTTGCAATTGCAATTCGAAGATCTGGATTCAAGGTCTGTATGTCTTCCTTCCCACTGATCCTATGAAATTCAGTACCTTGTTTTGATGCGTGGTCTTTCATAGGTAATCGATTTGAATAGTTTGTTTGATTTTTACATTCATATGGTTGAACAGATTGTTTTGCTTCTTCGGCTTGTTCCTTTACTTCCATTTAACATGTTGAACTACCTCTTATCCGTGACTCCAGTCTCCATTGGACATTACATGCTAGCTTCATGGTTGGGAATGATGGTATGCAGTTTTACTATAATTATCTCTTTAGTGATAACATGCCAATGAATTTAATGGCATTTTAAGGTGATGCCACTGATGAAAACCTTTACATTTTTAAAAATTCTAAGTATTGACCTGCTACATATACCTCAATGCACATTTAGGTATGTTTTGTCAGAAATGCATTTGTTTGCTTAGTGCGTTGATGCCCATTTGTGCTCTTTCTGCAGCCAATTACTTTTGCCCTGGTATATGTTGGGACAACTCTGAAGGATCTCTCTGACGTAACACATGGATGGGGTGAATTTTCAAAAACCCGTTGGGTAAGAGCCTTGTGGTGTAGTTCTGTTTGGTTTTAGTTAGATGATCTCATTCTGTTGTTCGTCCTTTCATGTTTAAAATATTGGTTGGAATGTAGGTGTCTGTAATTCTTGTGAAACTAAAAATGATAAAATAATAAACTCGATTCTTGAGGAGTATATAATTATAGGATTAATCTACTTGTACATTGGGGTTGACATAAAGGATGACATAATGTGAGTGGGGGTGGGGCCCACGATACTGTAGCATGGGACCCATCTCACTCACATTATGTTATCCTTTATGTCACCCCCAATGTACCCCTAGCATTTCCCCATAATTATATTGGATTTTGTTGAATTTCAAATTTTAGTTGAGCTTTTAGAAGTTATAAAGATTTCAGACTCTGATGATGATGAATATTGTCACTTATGAAAATGTGATGATAGTGGCTTTATACACAATTCAAGTTCATTGTTGTAGCCTGAATTATGGTCATCATGTTTGGCTAATTGTGATCCCCAATTCCATCTTTCATGTCACTGAAACGAGTAAAAGCCTCTCTCTGTTTTAACGGACCCGTGTTTTTACAAAATTAATGTAGTTTGACATTAGTCTTTTTTTTTTTTAATGCAGGCACTGGTTGTGTTGGGCCTTGTGACTTCTGGTAAGTTTCAAATGGATATTCATAGACCCCATTTATTATCACATATTTGGAGAAATTCCCTGCAATAATAATTAATTGAGGAGTTAGAACAATACAACTTTCTTTATTATTGAAAATTGGTTAGCTTGAACAGCGTATATCGGAGACTGCACTATTATAAACAAAATTACTTTTATAAGGGGGTTATTTGGTCTAATCTAGAGTTTTAGTGAAGAAAACTTCTATATCTTATGACATTTGGATAACAAAATACCATAAGAACTTAATTTTGTATAAATTTAAATTGAGGCAATATATTTAAATCCCAAATGAAGACACCTGTGTAATAATGCACCAGTTCAGTTGCAGCAGAAGTGCTTAATGATAGCGTAACTCAATTTCTTGATTTTCAGTTTGATATGTAGTTTTGAAAAAGGTTGGTGAACAATATTTTCTTTTGGCATTTTGAAAAATCTCCTTAAGAATAATGATTCTTGCTTATGTACGGGATAAGGCTCAGTTGAGTTGTCAGGCTCTGCAACGTTAACTTCTAGTAGTTACATTGGTTTGCTGTTTCTATTCATTGAATTATTGTTTTCTTTTCCTCTGCAGTCATATAATATTTGTACTTTAATGTAACTTAAGACACTCAGTTTTCATTGGGTTTTCTTGCAGTGGTATTAATAATTTGTGTTACTAGAGTTGCAAAAGCTGCTTTAGAGAAAGCGTTGGCTGAAAACGAGGATGATGACTACGATATCGCATCATCACAATTACCAATTCTGGCCGACTCTGCTGTAAATCTCCATGACCCGCTTATAATTAAAATTGATACCCCTCAAGATCATCATGTAATATAGTTTACAAACTCCAGAAAGACTTGCTCCTAAATGTTATATCATTTATACTAATCATCTGCTTGATGATGCTTTAACATTATTCTTCATATGTAGAGTCAGTATATATATGTTTTTACATTAGGTGGTTTTAACAGAAATAGCTTTTTTCTTCTGAAAGCTTACTTTACATAATTATACTTTCTGGCTAATGACAATTAGAGAAAATGAATATAATTGCTATTGGTTATGCTACTTTTTCTTGGGATATTTCTTGTCATCAGTTTCTGCATTTTGATACTCCTGTGCTTTCCGTCTTGCAAGGAGAAAAGACTGATTTAGAGAACTTGACGAGGAATCATGCTATATAGTGTTAGAATAATTGACATAATGGTTGACATAATGTCACATGACACTCTATCATTAGGTTGTTTAAAACACGGTTATCTTTTCCATCAATTCACCTCTCGTCATCTAGGATTTTGGCAACACTATTTTTCTGACAAAGTGGTTTAACCCATTTGATTAACCGGCCAGTAGGGTCGAGAACTAGTTTTTGACTTATCAACTTTTTATCTTTTCTGGGTCAACATTCTGGATGGATCACTGTATATCAATCCTATCTTGATGATTGCAGTACAACCAACTGTTGTGGTTACTCATTGATGCCCTACCAAATGGAAGATGAGTTTGGACCACCATGAACAAGCGCAGTCTGCTGCTTAAATTCTGCCCAAAAGGGGGAAAAATATACTTTTAACTGAAACTTGAAAGAAAAGCAAAAAGCACGATAATTAAACATGAAGCAACATCATATGCATAGGCAAACCTATCATGAATTGAGTGGGTGGTGGGCACTACATTTCCCTTGTTTAACTAACATATAAAATTGCTTCAAAAGTGCATTACGTACAGAAGCACAGTCCACAGAAATGCAATAGAACACTCACACGTGGTGGGGCCCACTCATTTTATTTATTTTTTTAAATACATAGTGGACCCACTGATTGTCTCGTGAAATTCTGTGGATTTTTTTCTGTACAGATTGAATTTCTGAAATTGCTTGCGTATATTTCCATTTACCACATTTTATGTAACTGTTATTGACTTCTACGTTACTCGTGAAATATCTGTTTTGTACGTTTATAAACAAATTGGATACTCTCTCTTTACAAGTATGTGTTAAGGAAGAGTTTTCACTTTTATCTTATATGATATTAACAATCGGTATAAGAGTATGCACACTCGTGGATTTATAAATATCGAGTACCTTTCCCAAATCAGTTTTAAAATGAGTTCTAACCGAAGTATTGCTTAATTGTTATTGAACGTGGAAGTTTCGGGACCCTACCAAAATTCATTGTCTCAAGGACCGCATCAATTATTTATAGTCTCTTAAAATATGTAGTGCAGAAATGATGAGTGATCTTTCACTTAAAGAATGTGTTTTTATACACAATTTGCATCATTAAAGAGTTCATCATTAAAAACATTTTATATCTTTGAGAGAGTGAAAGCCTATTCTTGGAAGGCTCGTGTCCTTCTCACAAGTCATAAGCAACTTTTTCCCGTTCAAAACTTCGCGGTATGAGCCTTGTTTCGGTTATGAAGTGTTTCAATGGATGCCGGGATCATACCCGAGTTTCAGGGCATGGAACAAGGATTTGGAATTTTGGTGATAAACCAATTGAACTTCAGATAAGGGTGGGATCAATATTGAAGAAAGTTCACACATTGAAGCCAGGTTCATCGAAGAGGCTGGATCCAAAGAACATTTACAAGGCTTACATCCCGGGGAGGACTAAGGGTGGCCGCGGTGGTGGAGGTGGTGGTGGTGGAAGAGGAGGAATGAGGAGTTTGCTATATTACTATGATGAAACATGCCATCCTTACATTTGGATACATGACACTCAATGTGATTTTTCTAGGATGGTTAAGCAACAATACATTAGTCTTGAGGACTTGAGGGAATGTTCTGAGATCAGAATTTTCAGAGATCATCAGAGAGGTTCTATATCAGTTCGCAAGAAGTCAAGAACTGAATTCTGTTGAAATACTTCGCCTAGTAGCACGGCACTTGTAATGCTCTCTCATATTCCTGCTTTCACAATTTAGTATTTTAACATATTTCTGTGAGTATTTGCATTCAGTTTCTCAGATTTTCATGTTGTGTTGTGGGATTTGATTATTACATGCTACAAGATAACAATATGTATGTATTCTAGTTGTAAACAATTCTGTCAACCAAAAAAATGGGTTGTAAAATGTATGTACTGAAACTTTTGAATCTTCTTCTGCTGAGAAAATTTGTATATTATTATTATGATTGCAAGATAGACTATCTATGATCAGCATATAATGAGAGTAACCCGACCTTAGGTCCAACTCTTATTGTTCGGGACATTATGAAGGCAATATTGATCGAGTCAGTTGGGCTTCGGTCAATGTCATGAATGTAATGTCGACTATGCATTTGACATGGCTTTTACAGTTTTACTTTTGCTTTTACTTTTTGTAAAATAGTTTTCTTAAAAGTAACTTTTGACTTTTCAAAGCCATATCAAACGGCCGATCATTCTAAATGACAATGTTATTTTATAAGAAATTAGGATGTTTACTAAAGACAATCTTAAAATAAGATTTACCATACTTTTTAAGATCTACCTTTCAATACGGGATATAAAAACCAATATTTGGTTCCATATTCAATGCAATACCTATAGGGACTTCAATTTCGGCTAATTCACATGTACGAATGATGAGATCACCCCAAAGGCACCTCTAGCATATCCCCTTCATTTTTGTGATGGTTATTGGAGTTGTTCATTACATCGTCACATCATTCTGATTGCTATGACAAATGAAAATAAGAAGTTTTAGCCCAAGTTTTGTCTTGTAGTTATTTAATTGATTTAGCTTATAAAATAAATGTAGCAATGAACCGAATAGCAAATGATGATAAGTCGATCTCAAATTTTTTTTAGAGTAATGCTTAGTTAGTTTGTCTTTCTTTAGTCGTGCTAACATCCAAGGAGGTTGGAAAATAGAATACTTGCCGTGGAAGTTAGCAATGAGATATACAAACTTGGCATCTAATAAAGTTGAAAGTAGGTTCTTTCTCAACATGATATATAAACGTGCAATAAATAACCTTAGTAAACTTCGAACTCTTAGTATGTACATGGATCCTTAAGGGCATCATAAATTATCGTGACCTTTTATTAAATTTGGGAAACTATTTGGCTATCATCAGTAGCAGACGCAGCACTCGGTGAGGGGGCCCGGCCGCCCGTGTTGGGATCCGTCGGAACTGTGAAAGGAAGGAAGAAGACGATTGAACAGGCGAGCTAACGTTTGTGTTTTTTTTTTTTTTCCTTTTTTTTAAGTTTTGGGCTTATGCTGTTACCTGTGGACCTTTTTACCTTAAAGGACCAAGCCAAAAAAGAAAACATACGTAACGGTAGTGACGACCGGAGCCAAGGAAGAAGCTTGAAAATTGAATTTCAAGCGCCACCCATGGAGTATTTTGGAAGATGACAGGGAAAGCTTTTTTCTTTTTCAATTCTGGGCCTCTTCTTTTGGTTGGGTCTCTTTTTTTTTTCGTTTTTTAAAGGTAGGCCTAGTCCACTGGATGCTGTTTTGCGTTTAATGTGTATATTTTGTATAATTGAAACAAATAATTCATTTGCAAAATGAATTAAGTTTGCAATTCCAAACCCTATCTCATTCCCTCCTTCTCGCCCCTGCGACCTGTTGTTAGCTTCCGTCGAGTAGCTGCCAAGTCTCTTCGGTCTCCGCAACTGACCCATGGTATCTTCATTGTGCTACTAACTAGTAACTCTGTGAGTCACGTGCCTTGTTTTTCTTTTTTTGGTTTTTGTTCTTTTAGACTTCAGTTTATTTTTTTATTTATCATTTATGATTTATGTTATAATTTAGTTGCACTCTGTAATATGCTCCTTCATACTTTGTTCGTGGAAAAAAGATGGCTAAGTTTGTCTTTTGGGTATTATTCAGAAACACCCAAAAATTGTATCGAGTGCTCCTCTCTTTGGTTGAGTAAAAAGTAGAAAACGACAGTCGATGGTCGACAATCATCCTAGCAACTAAGAATCCTGGATCCGCCACTGGCTATCATTATTTAGTTAATTCAAGAATTTTCTTGTTTTAAACATTATTGAAAATAGCAACCTCTCCTAATTTAGTAATTTGTGTCCTTCCAGGATTTACATAATGACTAGCAATGATGGACGATACACACACTCGTGTTGAACAAGCTGGCACACAATTTTTCAAAAAAAACATTTATACACCATGTCATCGACACGTTGAATAAATTTCTTTAAAATTCTCCATTTATATAGTTTTAATTTAGTTTTATAATTATCATTAATTTTTCTTATTGAAATCTTTCAAATGTGAGTACCTATTGTTGGTTAATAATAATATTGAGTTAAAGATATAAATATTTCTGATTAAAAAAAAATATCATAGTGAAGTGCTCGAGAAGTGCCAATATTCGACATGTATCGAATATGGACACGCCACATTTGTTGAAGTGTCCAAGCAACACAAGTGACCAATGAGTTATATATTTTGACAGCGGTGTCAAAGTGGAATGGGCCATTCTGGTCTCAAATGGCTCCAACCAACTCATGAAAAGCCCAGTGTCTGGTTGGGCCCATGACCTTTGTTGGGCTTGGCACTATAATAAATTCGAATTGTGGGTCATCTCAGCCCACCTTGGGATGAGCCTACAAGCCACAAAGAAATGTGTCTCGCCAGCCCATCACAAAATCTAGACCGGCTTAGGCTCGTAAATTGGCCAACTCGATTGACACCTCTCTATACAAGTGTGTATGCACATTCAAACTCCTCCCTCAAACAAGTACAGTTTCCACACTGAAAAACTGAAGACAGGAGAGATGAAAGTGAAGGCAAAAGAAAATTTTCAACTCAAAAGCATGAAGCAGTAGTTTGGAGATGTAAGAAGTTTCTCATGTAAATCAATCCACACAGGTCATCTAAAAGTTCCGACACCAAAATATTTTGGCAGATAAGTACGAGATATTCAAGGTAAAGTCACTCTCAAAGGGACCAGAACTGCTTCTCGTGCTGCTGCCAAGGGCAATAATGAGTCCTCTTTGCCACCTGCACAGTAACATTATCTCGACTTTCCGAATGAAACATTTTATCAAACAATTAGAGCATAAACTTGCAGAAGGAACTTCCAAAAAGTTGGTGGATGGTCCAATCATAAATTCCCTAGTGTGTTGTGAAACATCCTCTATACCTGGTATCCAAAGACACTATGGTGATATTTTAATAAATTTGGAGTCGACTATGACTACTTACCACGGAGATTCATTGTAAATACTAGTTTAGTTGATTATTGTTGCCATTTTATATGTCTACTTATTCACATTTGACAAAAGAATCACGTCAACGCTTCTGTGTATCGGATAAAGCATAATGTATGTCCAAGGGAGATCACATTCAGTCGAGTAACTTCGTAGTAGGTAAACTTAAAAGAAAAGATAAATCACTTGTGACTTTTTGATTTACTACCCAGCTATTTTACTGAAAACCCATGTGGATATATTTGATTATATAGCAAATAATGTATGGGACAAGAAATAGATATTTATGATGAACATACCAATCTATCTTCCCTCTCATTTTCAGTCAGAATTCTAGGACATGTGATGCACATGTAAATTTTTTACATATAAATGGAAATGGCATTTGATGGTTGCCAAACAAATTATATTAAAGGACATAGGACAAAAAATTTGAATTTCATCACTTTGTTAATTAGTTATATTACCACCACAATAAGCGTTCAAAGTTTTCTTATTTTCTTAAATAATCATGAGCACTTGTATGTTTATTCATTGCATCACCATCATCCGTAAACCGCAAAGTGTATCTCCTATTTAAAGATACACATGCAATAATTCATACATCAAAAGATCTAATGATTCATACAATTGTGTTGGTTATAATACCTGTTATTTCTGGAGTATTTCTGCACAGCGTAACGGTATGATCAATAGAATAAAAAATGAATTCGAGTCAACCGACTTCACGATGTTTCCTTAAAACGAATTTGCTGTCTTCAAAAGGTGCTTAAGGCGTCCAACAATCGTTTCNAAATTCTCCATTTATATAGTTTTAATTTAGTTTTATAATTATCATTAATTTTTCTTATTGAAATCTTTCAAATGTGAGTACCTATTGTTGGTTAATAATAATATTGAGTTAAAGATATAAATATTTCTGATTAAAAAAAAATATCATAGTGAAGTGCTCGAGAAGTGCCAATATTCGACATGTATCGAATATGGACACGCCACATTTGTTGAAGTGTCCAAGCAACACAAGTGACCAGTGAGTTATATATTTTGACAGCGGTGTCAAAGTGGAATGGGCCACTCTGGTCTCAAATAGCTCCAACCAACTCATGAAAAGCCCAGTGTCTGGTTGGGCCCAATGACCTTTGTTGGGCTTGGCACTATAATAAATTCGAATTGTGGGTCGTCTCAGCCCACCTTGGGATGAGCCTACAAGCCACAAAGAAATGTGTCTTGCCAGCCCATCACAAAATCAAGACCGGCTTAGGCTCGTAAATTGGCCACCTCGATTGACACCTCTCTATACAAGTGTGTATGCACATTCAAACTCCTCCCTCAAACAAGTACAGTTTCCACACTGAAAAACTGAAGACAGGAGAGATGAAAGTGAAGGCAAAAGAAAATTTTCAACTCAAAAGCATGAAGCAGTAGTTACCTCTACATTCTTCAAAGAGTACACAATCAATCCACACAGGTCATCTAAAAGTTCCGACACCAAAATATTTTGGCAGATAAGTACGAGATATTCAAGGTAAAGTCACTCTCAAAGGGACCAGAACTGCTTCTCGTGCTGCTGCCAAGGGCAATAATGAGTCCTCTTTACCACCTGCACAGTAACATTATCTCGACTTTCCGAATGAAACATTTTATCAAACAATTAGAGCATAAACTTGCAGAAGGAACTTCCAAAAAGTTGGT